GATTCCTCAGCACCACATAAGCAAAAAGAAAAAAGCCAGAAGTGGCGCTGTGGCTCAAGTGATAGAGCGCTAGCCTTGAGCTGATGAGCTGAGGGTCAGCGCCCAGGCCCAGAGTTCAGGCCCCACGACCGGACCAAAAAAAAAAAAAAGAAAGGAGAAGTACGACCCTCTATAGTAGTCTGTGCTTGTAATCCTGGCACTTGGGAGGCTGTCAGTTGTAGAGCACTTGCCTAATATATGACAGTGACTTCAATTCCCGGTACCACAAAAGAAAAGGAGGTGGGGAGAGATAGTACTCCAACAATAAACCTTGATAATGATTGATGACATTTTGTCTAGGATCTTGGTAAAGATAATCACTACCTAGAGAAGCACTATTTATTACTATTACAGTATTTTAAGCAGTATTGTTATCTCCAAACATTCCAAGGCTTTCCTTATTACAAATACTAGAAGAAATAAGCTTTCCACAGAGAGGACCTATTTTTCTTCAGCTGACTTGTTACCCTAGAGCTAGCTTCTAATAGAGAAAACAGGTCTGTTAAGTTTGTTATTTTTCTGCTTTCCTTTCCTGTCCTGTTCTTCTCCTCCCTGTCTCATTTGAGAACCTTGTAGGAAGTGTTACACTTCAACAAAATGTGTTTCCTCTGACATTTAAACATGCCTCCATTTTGTCTTTCCATATTAGAATTATTCCTCTTCTTCTCTCCCACTTCCAACACTCTGACTCGATTTTGCTTTAGTTCATTCGTTGTTGCTCAAGTTTACAGATTATGCCAGAGGAAGAAGCCACATTTATAAACATGTGCGCCTGCCCACCTGTTTCAAGAGCAGCAGTAACATTCATCTTCTAATTGTGTGCAGCTTTCTACATACAGCTGTGCCCATCCACCCTTATAAATGATGTGCCTATCTCCTGAGTCTTACTTTGTCTAGAATAAATGGCTACTGTTCCTGTTTAATTTGGTTGTTAGTAAGCAGAGCAGCCCATCATGAGGAGGGATGGGGGAAGATCCAGTTAACTTCACTTTTCTAATAGCCAGAGAAAATTTAGCCTAATTGCTTTTCTTAGGAGACGTACTATTTCCTTAAGGTGCCAGAGGCTTAAAAGAAATAAGGGTGTGTGTGTGCACATGCGTGCACTTGCACATGTGTGTGCCTGTGCATGCACCAATACTGGGGCTTGAGCTCAGGATCTAGATTTTCTTTTTGCCAGTCTTGGTGCTTGAACTGAGGGCCTGGGCACTGTCTCTGAGCTTCATTTTGCTCAAGGCTAGCACTCTACCACTTAAGTCACAATGCCACTTCCAGCATTTTCTATATATGTTGTACTGAGTAACCAATCAAACCCAGGGCTTCGTGCATGCTAGGCAAGCACTCTACCACTAAGCCACATTCCCAGCCCTACCAGCTCTGTTTCTTTTTGCTGATTAATTGGTGGTAAGAGTCCCAGATCTCAGCTGAGTAGCTAGGATTACAGGTGTGGACCACCACCCCACCCTCTGCAATCCTTCAGAGTGCTTAAATGAAGAATAGCTTCTCAGAGGCCAACAGGGTTTGTCTCATATCTGTGTCCTCTTATTTTCCAGGGATGTTGGTGGTCAACGTGACGTGGAGAAATAAAACATATGTAGGTACACTTCTTGACTGCACACGACATGATTGGGCACCCCCAAGGTGAGCACTTAGAGCTATCTGGTTTTATAGTAGTCGGTCTACTACTCTATTCAGTTGATTCTTATGCCTTTCTACTGCCAGAGCTGCACATCCACCTTTTTCAGACATAATGTAGAGACAAGAGAAGGCACTATATTCATCTGGCATTTTAAAAATCAATGAGCTGGGCGTTGGTGACTCAACACCTGTAATCCTAGCTACTCAGGAGGCTGAGATCTGAGGACTGCGGTTCAAAGCCAGACCAGGCAGGAATGTCTGTGAGACTCTTAGCTCTAAGAAAACCACCAGAAAACTGGAAGTGGCGCTGGTATAGTGCTTGCCTTGAGCTGAAGAGCTCAGGGACAGTGCCCAGGCCGAATTTAAGCCCCATAACCGAAAGAAAGGAAGGAAGGAAGGAAGGTATCATTGAATTGTACATTTAAATGTTTCCTGGGAGGATTACAGGATAAGAAGAAATCCTTCCTAAGATCATGTCTAGCTTTTTCCTGTAGTCATCTCAAGGCTAAAACCTTAAAATCGTAACTATGTCTGAACAAGCTGGGGATATGACTCAGGTAATAGAGCATCTTCTTTGCAAATGTGAAGCCTTGGGTTCAAACCCCTCATCCGCCCAAAAAGAGAACTTTAAGCGTGAACAAATATGCACTGCTGATGTTTTTTGTCTTTTGTCTGTATGTCTATGTGTTGGTCCTGGGACCTGTATTCAGGGCCTGGGCTCTGTCCCTGCAATTTTTTGTTCAAGGCTAGCACTCTACCACTTGAACTACAGCTCCACTTTCGACTTTTTGGTAGTTAATTGGAGATAAACATTTTGATGGACTTCCTTGCCTAGCCTGGCTTTGAACCTCAATCCTCAGATCTTGCCCAGCATGTATGAGGCCCTGGGTTAGATCCCCTGATTACTGTTGACTGTATCTGATATTTAGGACTTATTTAGGGGGCTCTTAATTGGATGGCTGGATACTTTGTTCTATCTAGTCTACTTTTGTAGTAAAATGTGCAGGGGGGGAAATACAGCTAGATTCTAGTCAGACATTGCCATGAGCCAACAGTTGTGACCATGAGCAGTTCCTTAGTATACCTGGCTTCAATCTCCTTGATGATGCTTTTGTTTTTGTTTTTGTTTTTTTGTATGCTTTGTTCCCCATATGCTCTACCACTTGAGCCACAACTCCAGCCCTTCCTATGATAATCTTTCATCTTTTCTCAGGTTGGAAGCTCATAGTTTATACCTATAATCTTAACTACTCAGGAGGCTGAGGGAAGCCCAAGTAGAAAAGTTTGAGAAGCCCTGTGTCAAAAATAACTAGCAGAAGCCAGGAACCAGTGGCACACGCCTGTAATCCTAGCTACTCAGGAAGCTGAGATCTGAGGATCACAGTTCAAAGCCAGCCAGGGCAGGAAAAAAATGAGCGACTCTTTTTTTTTTTTTTGGTTGGTTGGTTGTGAGGCTTGAACTCTAGGCCTGGGCACTGTCCCTGAGTTCTTCAGTTCAAGGCTAGCGCTCTACCACTTGAGCCACAGTGCCATTTCCGGCCTTTTCTGTTTATGTAGTGCTGAGGAATCGAACCCAGGGCCTCATGAATGTGAGGCAAGCACTCTACCACTGAGCCACCTTCCCAACCCCAAGTCTGTGAGACTCATATTGCCAGTTAACCACCAGAAAACTGGAAGTGTTACTGTGGCTCAAGTGGTAGAGTGTTTGCCTTGAGCTGAAGAGCCCAGGGACAGGCCCAGAGTTCAAGCCCCACAGTCTCCCCACCCCCCCCCAAAAAAAAACTAGCACAAAAGGCCTGGAGGCATGACTCAAGTAATATAAGAACACACCAAACATGAGGCCTTGAGTTGAAACTCTAGTACACCAAAACAAAATGCAAATTAAGTCCTGTCTGAATCTATAATTGTGGTTGCATGTATGAATTGTAGGTCTGGGGGTATGGCTCAGCTGGTAGAATGCTGTTTTGGTTTTTTTTATTGTTGTTTTTTTGGTTTTGGTTTGTTTAATTTTTATCATGCACAAGGCCCTACGTTCAGTTCTCCAATAATATAAAGTAGAACAAAATCTGGAGCCAGTGGCTCATGCCTGTAATCCTAGATATGCAGGAGGCTGAGACCTGTGGATTGCATTTCAAAGCCAGCCCAAGCAGGAAAATCCATGACTCTAACCTCCAATAAACCACAAAGTCTGGTAGTGGAGCTTTGGTTTAAGTGGTAGAGCACTAGCCTTGAACAAAAAAGCTTAGGGATGGCATCCAGGCCCAGAGTTCAAGCCCCAGGACCAGGGTAGGGGGAGTGGGGGAGGTAAAAAAAAGGGAGGATGAAAGGAAGAGAAAGTGGGGGGAGAATGGGAAAGAAAGATAAGGGGAGGGAAGGAATGAAATGCAGGGCTGGGTGCATTATTTCACACCTGTAATTCCAGCTATTCAGGAAGTGGAGATCTGGAAGATTGTGGTTCGTGGACAGCTCGGGCAAAAAGTTAGTGGGAGCTCCATCTCCACAAATAAACCAGACATGGTGGTTCACATCTGGAATCTCAGCTACTCAGGAGGTATAGGTAGAAGATAATAGTCCAAGGCCAGCCCAGACAAAAACTCAAGACCCTTGTATCTGAATAATAACTAACGCAAAAAGGGTATATAGCTCAGCCGGTTTAAAGATGCTTTCTCGTAATATCCTATTGTGTTTGTCCTTTGCCAAGGTTCTGTGACTCGCCCACCAGTGACTTAGAAATGCGCAATGGTCGAGGAAGAGGCAAGCGGATGCGTCCCAACAGTAACACCCCTGTCAACGAGGCCACCGCAGCCTCTGACAGCAAAGGGACCACGAGCAGCAGCAAAACCCGAGCAGGAGCCAATAGCAAAGGCCGTCGGGGCAGCCAGAATTCTTCGGAGCATCGCCCACCTGCCAGCAACACCTCCGATGATGTCAAGGCCAGCCCTTCCTCAGCTAATAAGAGGAAAAATAAACCCCTTTCAGACATGGAGCTGAATTCTAGCTCAGAGGACTCCAAAGGGAGCAAGCGTGTGCGCACAAATTCCATGGGCTCGGCCACTGGTCCCCTCCCTGGGACCAAGGTGGAACCCACTGTTCTGGACAGAAATTGTCCATCCCCAGTCCTGATCGACTGTCCCCACCCAAACTGCAACAAGAAGTACAAGCACATCAACGGACTTAAGTACCACCAAGCTCACGCACACACAGATGATGACAGCAAGCCAGAAGCAGATGGCGACAGTGAGTATGGAGAGGAGCCGGGCCTCCACGCAGACCTTGGCAGCTGCAATGGTGCATCTGTCTCCCAGAAAGGATCCTTGTCCCCTGCCCGCTCAGCCACCCCCAAAGTGCGGCTCATTGAGCCTCATAGCCCTTCCCCTTCCAGCAAATTCAGCACAAAAGGCCTCTGTAAGAAAAAGTTGAGCGGGGAAGGAGACACAGACCTTGGCGCCTTGTCCAATGATGGCTCTGACGATGGCCCCTCCGTAATGGACGAAACAAGCAATGATGCCTTTGAGTCTTTGGAAAGAAAGAGTCTGGAAAAAGAAAAATGTAAAAAACCGTCTAGTTTGAAACCTGAAAAGATTCCTTCCAAGAGCTTAAAGTCAGCCCGGCCCATTGCCCCCGCCATCCCACCCCAGCAAATCTATACCTTCCAGACGGCCACCTTCACAGCTGCCAGCCCCGGCTCCTCCTCCGGCTTGACCACCACCGTGGTCCAAGCCATGCCCAACAGTCCCCAGCTGAAGCCCATTCAGCCCAAGCCCACGGTCATGGGGGAGCCCTTCACCGTCAACCCTGCTCTGACGCCCGCGAAGGACAAGAAGAAGAAAGACAAAAAAAAGAAGGAGTCAACGAAAGAACTCGAAAGCCCACTGACCCCTGGGAAGGTGTGTCGAGCAGAAGAAGGCAAAAGCCCCTACAGGGAATCGTCCGGAGACGGGATTAAAATGGAGGGGCTCCTGAATGGCTCCTCAGACCCCCACCAGAGCCGACTGGCGAGCATCAAGGCTGAGGCAGATAAGATCTACAGCTTCACGGACAATGCCCCCAGCCCTTCGATCGGAGGCAGCAGCCGCCTAGATAGCGGGACCCCGACCCAGCCCCTGACACCCTTACATGTGGTGACCCAGAATGGAGCCGAGGCCAGCTCGGTGAAAACCAACAGCCCCGCCTACTCTGACATCTCTGATGCTGGGGAAGATGGGGAGGGCAAGCTGGACAGCGTCAAATCCAAGGACCCTGAACAGCTGGTTAAGGAAGGGGCTAAGAAAACACTTTTCCCCCCTCAGCCACAGAGCAAAGACTCGCCCTATTACCAAGGCTTTGAGAGTTACTACTCTCCAAGTTATGCACAGTCCAGCCCTGGGGCTCTGAACTCTGGCAGCCAGGCAGGAGTGGAGAGCCAGGCCTTAAAGACAAAAAAGGATGAGGAGCCCGAAAGCATAGAGGGGAAAGTGAAGAGCGATGCCTGCGAGGACAAAAAGTCGGAGCTGAGCAGCTCCAGTCAGCAGCCATCTGTCATCCAGCAGCGCCCCAACATGTACATGCAATCCCTGTACTATAACCAGTATGCCTACGTGCCCCCATACGGCTACAGCGACCAGAGTTACCACACCCACCTCCTGAGCACGAGCTCCGCCTACCGGCAGCAGTACGAGGAGCAGCAGAAACGCCAGAACTTGGAGCAGCAGCAGCGGGGGCTGGACAAGAAGGCAGACTTGGGCCTGAAGGAGCGAGAGGCCGCACTCAAGGAAGAGTGGAAGCAAAAGCCGTCAATCCCACCAACTCTCACCAAGGCCCCTAGCCTTACAGACCTGGTGAAGTCAGGACCCAGCAAGGCCAAAGAGCCAGGGGCTGACCCTGCTAAGTCAGTCATCATTCCCAAGTTAGATGACTCTTCCAAACTGCCCAGCCAGGCCCCGGAAGGTCTTAAAGTGAAGCTCAGCGAAACTAGCCACCTAAGCAAGGAGTCCTCCGAAGCTAAGACAGGCACTGAGTGTGGTCGTCAGGCTGAGGTGGATCCAATACTCTGGTACCGACAGGTAACTGTTACTTTGGGAGGGCCTGAAAATACTGTCTGATAAACTGTCTCCCCCACCAATCAGGGCTGTCTTCATGTAGGAGTTCCAAGGAATTAATATTAATAGGATAGTTTTTATAATTTTAGGAGTTCTTTACCTTTGTGAACTTCTTTAAAAAGTTTTTGCCAGGCCGGGCGCGGGTGGTTCACGCCTGTCATCCTAGCTCCTCAGGAGGCTGAGATCTGAGGATCGCAGTTCAAAGCCAGCCCAGGCAGGAAAAGTCACTTATCTCCAATAAACCACTAGAAAACCAGAAGTGGCACTGTGGCTCAAGCAGTAGAGCGCTCACCTTGAGCTGAAGAGTGCAAGGACAGTGCCCAAGCCCAGAGTTCAAGCCTCACAACTGACCCCCCCCAAAAAAGAGTTTTAGCTAGGCATGGGTGGCTCATACGTGTAATTTCTAGCTCCTTAAAAGTTTGAGATGCAAAGGAACACCATTCAAAGCCAGCTAATTCAGAAAAGTCCATGAGACTACATCTCTAAAATAACCAGTGAAAAGCTGGGCTGGAGATATAGCTGAAGTGGTAGAGCACCAGCCAAATGAGCAAACACAAGACCCTGAGTTTAAACTTCAGTACGGGGTGGGGTGGTGCAGGGGTGGGGGTGAGGGGGAACAAAGGAGGGAAAAAAACAATTTTACTTTGTAAAAGCTATTTTTCTAGCCAGGTGCTGGTGGCTCACACCTGTAATCCTAGCTACTCAGGAGGCTGAAATCTAAAGATCACAATTGGAAGCCAGCCAGGCCAGGAAAATCCATGTCATGTATCTCCAGCTAACTACCAAAAAGTTAGAATTGGAACTGTGGCTTGAGTGGTAGAGTGCTAGTTTTGAGTAGGGGAAGAAAAAACCCCACCAAACTCGGGACATCCAGGCCCTGGTTCAAACCCCAGCACTGGCACCAATTTTTTTTTTTTAAGTTACAGACGAAAAAGGCTCAGAGGAGCCAGGCACTAATAGCTTACACCTGTAATCCTAGCTAATTAAGAGGATGAGCTCTGAGGATTGACGTTTGAAACCAACCTGGGCAAGAAAGTCCATGAGACTCTGATTTTTCAGTTAACCACCAAAATGCCCAACATGGAGGTATGGCTCAGGTGATAGAACACACACACACAAAAAGCTCAGAGTGCCCAGGCCCTGAGTTCAAGTCCTAGTGCCAGCACACAAAAAAAGATACCCAGGTAAGTTAGCTTAATTTGTCTAAGATTTGTTGAGACTTCACTAGCAGATCCAGCCAGAACTCCAGAATCTTGATTCCAAGTCCATTCCATTCTCATTTGGGTCCTACGCAATGAATTAGTGGTGATTGCTCAGTTCTTTAAAGTGGGTCAGAGTCCACTATTCAGTTACTGAGTCCCTTTGAAAAGGATTTTATAGGTATTGTTCGAACCTATAGAACATCTTGTTCTGCTCCTGGGACTTTGTCCTCCCTTCTCATTTGATGCCACAGTCAAAGCCCGCCTATGACCCAGCAGCAGTGATCAAGCTCCACCCCCTCAGCTTGCTCTGAAGAAGCAATGGAGGCAATTCTCCAAGTCCAGCAGGCGTTGCCCCAGAATGCTTGTTCTCACCCAGAGAACATCCACGATTGATTTTTCATTTCATTTTATTTTATTTTATTGTCTGCTATGGACCCTGAGCTTTTGTGCTCCAGACTAGCACTCTACCACTTTGCTCCACAGCTCCACTTCCAGTTTTCTGGTGATTAATTAGAGATAAGAGCCTCACAGACTTTCCTGCCCAGGCTGGCTTTGAATCACGTTCCTCACATCTCAGCCTCTTGAACAGCTAGGATTACAAGCGTGAGCCACTGACACGTGGCTATTTTTCTTTTTTCTCTCTTTGCATCTTTTTTGCTTGGGTGCAGGGGTGGGGGAAGCATGCTTTTTGAGCAAAAGAGAGCAGAAGTAGATTGTAAACAAAGATCAGTAGGAGCCAAGATCCTACTCTACTACAGGTGCCTAGTAATTGTCCTTGTTTCTCAAGTCCAAGGTCCCAGTGTTTCCGTCTCTTTTGTACAATACTCAGCATTCATTCTGCTTGTTGTAGGAGGCAGAGCCCCGGATGTGGACATATGTTTATCCTGCCAAGTACTCAGACATCAAGTCAGAAGATGAGCGGTGGAAAGAGGAGCGGGACCGCAAATTGAAGGAGGAAAGAAGTCGGAGTAAGGACTCTGTCCCCAAGGAGGATGGGAAAGAAAGCACAAGTAGTGACTGCAAGCTGCCCACGTCTGAGGAGTCCCGCCTCGGGAGCAAGGAGCCCCGACCAAGTGTCCATGTGCCTGTGTCCTCCCCCCTCACCCAGCACCAGTCCTACATCCCCTACATGCACGGCTACTCCTACAGCCAGTCCTACGACCCCAACCATCCCAGCTACCGAGGCATGCCCGCTGTGATGATGCAGAACTACCCAGGTACAGCACCTCACGCCATGTGGCTTCTTTCACTGGGAAGGGAGATGAAGCATGGGTTTCGAATCCAGAGTTCCTGTGTATGTGGTACTGAGGAATTGAACCCAGGGCTTCATGCAAGCTAAGCAAGCACTCTTAACCACTAAGCCACCTTCCCAGCCCCCCCCCATAGCCTTTTGAATGACCCCTAATTACATTCTGAGGGACTTCCTCTCCTCCCCGCTCGCTCGTTGCCTCCACTCACTATTGATTTTCCCTGATAACGAAAGATGAAACGAAACAAAGCAAAAAAACTCCCAGGTTGGAGGCATGGCTGTGTTGGTAAAGTGGTAGCCAAAGCGTCAAGTACTGAGTTTGAATCCTGGTCTTGGATCTTTAAAAAGACAAAAACAAAAGAAAAACAACCTTCCCTTCCTACCATGCCCATCTCTTGATTTTATATTTTCTTTGTTAGAATCACACTCTAAATTTTGTAGTATAAGGAATACAAAAGAAGTAGGGAAGGAAGAATTAAGGCTCTTACAACTTAATTAGAGCAGAAGAGACACATGGAACAAATAAAACTGAAACAAGAACAGTGTGTGTGTTTAGCTGTACGATCATGCTTAGCTTATGAGTCTGAAGACAGTCAAGGATGGAAAGAACAGTTTGAAGTTGAATTTGGAGAATGTCTGGGTAGGTCCAGCTAGAGGAAGATGAACTCTTTATGCTGCTGTCAGTGAGTTCTAGTGGAGGCATAAAAGGGGATTTAAATATGTTTTAGCTCAGTAAAACAAAATGTTCTTCAACTCGGCTAGCTGATTTCTGTGTTCCAAAGTGCCATGTGGTACTCTTCTGGAGCGAAGTGCACTTCTGTTTATTTTATTTTTATTCACATGTACTAATCAGACAAGTTTCTGTGGTATTTCAACATGTACATAGCATGTAGGCATGCACAGAAATCAGGATAAAAAACATTTCCCTCTTTTTCTTCTTCTTCTTTTTTTTTTTTTTTTTTTTTGGTCAGAGGGCCTGAACTCTGGGCCTGGGTGCTGTCCCTCAGCTCTTCAGCTCAAGGCTAGCGCTCTACCACTTGAGCCACAGCGCCACTTCCGGCTTTTTTCTGCTTATGTGGTGCTGAGGAATGGAACCCAGGGCCTCATGCATGCAAGGCAAGCGCTCTACCACTGAGCCACCTTCCCAGCCCTTCATTTGTGTTGGAAGCCTTTGGGTTCCTGTACTTCTAAATCTGTTCAAATATATACAAGGTTACTGTGGAACACTAGAACTCATTAGTTCTACCTAACCTTATCCAACTTCTCTCCACCCCCATCCCCAGCCTCAAGTAATCACAAGTCTACATTCTGATCAACTTGGCACTAACTTCCTCCTTAGACTCCCAACCCTCTACAACATAAATAGGACAAGTATTTCAAACGATAGAGGAAATCATCACCAGTTGCCAGTTGCTCACACCTATAATCCTAGCTTCTCAAGAGGCTGAGAATCACAATTTGGAGCCAGCCTGCGCAGCCAAATTGTCAAGAGTCCTATTTACAGTTAACCAGCAGAAAACTAAATGGTGGCATGGCTCAAATATTAAAGAGTGCCAACTGTGAGCAAAGAAGCTGAATGAGACTATGAGGCCTTGAGTTCAAGGCCTTGGGAGCAAGGAGCTCTGGTCCATTTGGGGCGATTTGTGTACTTTTTTTTCCTCTCCTTTTTTGAGACAGGGTCTGGTTGTGTAACCTAGGATGGCCCTGAGCTCACAGTACTCTTGCCTCAGTCTCCCAAGTATTAGGATTATAAGAATATAGTACTAGCCGGGCGCTGGTGGCTCACGCCTGTAATCCTAGCTACTCAGGAGGCTGAGATCTGAGGATCGCAGTTTAAAGCCAGCCCGGACAGGAAAGGCCGTGAAACTCTTATCTCCAATAAAACCACTAGAAAACCGGAAGTGGCGCTGTGGCTCAAGCAGTAGAGTGTTCACCTTGAGCTGAAGAGCACAGGGACAGCGCCCAAGCCCAGAGTTCAAGCCCCACAACCGACCGAAAAAAAAAAAAAGAATACAGTACTAGGCCTGGCTTCACATCATCTTTTAGTTATTCAAGTATTGGTATCTTTATTTTGTCAATAAACGGAAACTCAAAAAGGTTATTAATTTTCTCAAGGTTACCCCGTTAGTAAGTCTCACGGCATGGTTGAGCCCAAGGCTCAACCATGACCTTTCTTTCTTTCTTTCTTTCTTTCTTTCTTTTCTTCCTTTCTTTTCTTTCTTCCTTCCTTTCTTTTTTTCCTTTTCTTTCTTCCTCCTTCTTCTTTATTATTATTATTATTGGTGGTGGTGGTGGCAGTGGTGGAGATGGTGATGGTGGTGGTAATACTGATATGATGGTGGTATAGGATTTGAATTCAGGGTCTCATGCTTGCTAGGCTGGTACTCTACCACTTGAACCACGCCCTCAGCCTTGGCAAATGACTCTGCTCAGACTGGATCAATCCTCCAGATTTTAGGTTCCTGAGTTAGGTAGATTAATACCTGAGCCACAGTGCCCAGCTCTCCTTTTTATCCCAGGGCCTTAGGCTTTGGTGGTGAGCACTCTCTGGAGCCCCGACCCTGCCCATCTAACTTTAAATCCTATCGTCTTTCCACTTTATCATATCACCTTTCCCAGTGAATCTGAGACTTAAAAGACCCAGAACAGATGTGGGGAAGTCACTTCCGGGAAACTGTGGCCCACGGTCCTTCTATCCCTTCACTGATTTTGCTGTAGAGCTTGTTAAAGAGCAAGCTGGTCATCTCATACCAAAGAGGCCACGATGGGAAGTACCTTAGCCTGCGCCTAGCTCATTAACGCAGTTCCTTCTACCCCGCTCCTATCTGAAACTGACTGATGTCTCCTCCCTTAGGTTCCTACTTGCCTTCCAGCTACTCTTTCTCCCCATATGGCAGCAAGGTCTCAGGTGGTGAAGATGTGGACAAGGCTCGAGCCAGCCCCAGTGTTGGTTGTAAATCCAGCTCCGAGTCCAAAGCCCTAGACATCTTGCAGCAGCACGCCAGCCACTACAAGAGCAAGTCCCCGACGGTAAGGGACCTGCAGCAACTGGCTGTCGCCCCAACACCAAGAAGGCCAGACCTCCAGGATCTGACTCGAGTGCACTTGGCCGATTGGGTACCTCCTCTGTTTCGGGGTATTTTGCATTTCTAGGGCATCCTAATATAGGGCCCTGCACAAGCCGCTCATATGCATGTGCCTCACGACAGTGCTTTTGTGTGTCTCCTTTCCTTTGCAGATAAGTGATAAAACGTCTCAGGAGCGAGATCGGGGAAGCTGTGGGGTGGTTGGGGGTAGTGGCAGCTGCAGCAGCATTGGCGGATCCGGAGGGGGTGACCGGAGCGTTGACCGGCCGCGCACCTCCCCTTCCCAGCGCCTGATGTCCACACATCACCACCACCACCACTTGGGGTACTCGCTGCTCCCAGCACAATACAACCTGCCGTATGCAGCAGGTGGGTCTTGTCCCTGGCACCTGGTTCTGCTGTTTCCACAGCAGTACCCATTGCAAGGTCCGGTCTCACTAGGGTCTTTGGTTGGGTTTGGAGGTGTGACTCAGGTGGTAGAGCACCAGCCAACGAGTGAAAGTGTCAGATACTGAGTTTCAGTCCCAGTCTCTAGTCCATCCAGAGACCTAGCCTCCTGCAGCATCCTTAAAGCACAGGACAGCCATTTCCCTCCCTGGTAGTTGGGACCTCTCAAACTCTTCCAGAATTTTGGCTTTGAATAAGGATCGGCTGCTCCTTCTGCCAAGGGAAAACAAGCAGCTGCAAAACAGAGCTGTAAGCCAGGTGCCAGTGGCTCACACCTGTAATCCCAGCTACTCAGGGGCTTGAGATCTGAGGATCATGGTTTCAAAGCCAGCCCGGGCAGATAAATCCGAGAGACTCTTATCTCTGTTGATTGCCAAAAAGCTAGACGTGGAGGTGTGGCTCAAGTGGCGGACTGCCAGCCTTGAGCAAAACTAAAGGTCCTGAGTATAAGCCCTAGTACTAGGAAGGGAAGGAGGGGAGGGAGGGAGGGAGGGAGGGAGGGAGGGAGGGAAGGAAGTGGGCAGACAGGCAGACAGACAGCTGTATTGTCTGGCCTCTGCCCCTATATCTAGCCAAGAAGCAGATTTTTTTTTTCCCCTGTCAGCACCTCAAACTCAATGGAGCTAAGAATTAAAGGGGGGACCTCCTCCCCTTACCTAGCAGGGTGCTGAGTGGAGGTGTGAAGGGAATGCTTGCTGAGTGCCTCACTGGCATCTCTTCCTGTTCTAGGGCTTTCTTCTACAGCCATTGTTGCCAGCCAGCAAGGCTCAACTCCCTCACTCTACCCACCTCCCAGGAGGTGAGAATGGTAAGTAACTTTTGTTAATTTTGTGGCACCAAATGAACAGGAATAGCCTCTACCCGGAGCATAAAATACGTGTGGAGCCCAGTAAGGGATCTGAGTGCAGGAACTGGAAAGTGTGAAACACTGACCACGCCTGTCACGCAGAAGTCTTCAGTGAAGCTGTGTGCAGGGTGACCGGCGCTGACCTCCCCCAGAGTTCGTTTCATTATGGCGCCATCTTGTGGTTGTTAAACTACCAGGCAGAGGACCTGGTCACCTGACCCCTGTTTCCCTTGCAGACAACCAAGTGCCCGGATTAAAGTCAGCATCACAGGCCAGCCTGGCTCACCCAAGGAGGTGCTGGAGGTGCCATTGAGACATCAGTTAAATGGTGTTGGTCATCCTGTTTGCCGATTCTACCATGACTGAAGGCAGACCCTTGGCTATCTCGCCTCCACCAGACCCCTGGACCCCCTGGTACTTGGCAAAAAATATTTATTCTCTCAGCCACAATCATGACTGTTGTGGCCTCTATGGAGATGAAGGTTTGGGGAGCAACTAGGGGAATATGGCCTCATCCCAGAGAAGTCACTGCTCTGTTCTCCAAGCCCCTGGTCTGCTGTCAGGGCACCACCACCCCACCCCAACTCCAGGAGGGACACGCGCCTCCCCCCACCCCACTCCTCCCCCCCCCCCCCCCGCCCCCCAAGCACTGGGTAAAGCCTGAAGACAGCACAGCGGCCACATCCCTCTGTCATTAGCACCATCACCAGATTCTGCGTCTCCCCAGTGGCTCGGGCCCTGGGAACTGGCAGCGTGTTGGAGGAATTCGAATCTCAGGAAAGAAATTGGGGGCCATGTTCTCTCATTGTGAAGACAAGGTCTTCAGCCATGGAGACTTCGCCCTCTAATATGAGCACATTGAGCTCAGCACCTAGTCTGGAAAGGAAGACTAAGGCATTTGCCCCACCGCGGCCTTGCGCTTCCTTTCGGGCCCAGGTCAGGGGTTCCAGCCCCAGCACAGGGCTCCCCAGGGTGCTGCAACTAAGCTGGAGCGGAGACACAAATGGAGTGTGTAAAACTGAACCTGCTTCCCTCCCAAGTCCTGCTGCTTCTGTCCTCCCGACTCCTGGCCCTTCCCCCTCCCTCCTGACCCCTCGGTGCCTTTCCTAGGGGTGTCCCCACACCGATCTCACCTCTTCTTTCCCAGTGCTTGGCTCTTAAGACTCAGGCAGAAAAAGCATTCCCTGGTGAATGGGGCACCTCGGAGCCTGCCCGGTCACCATAGGGCAAGGCACACAGGCAGGCCCCGGGAGCTCCCTGTCCTTCTTGGAGATCTCCGGTCCATTCAGCCATCTGAGCATCCTCCTCATTTGGGGCCAGAAACACATGGCCCAGTCCTTCTATCTAGCAGTACATGCTCTTATGTACTTCAATCCACCACCTCCATGTGTGCCAATTGTGTGTTTTTGTAACACACGTATTTGTTTTAGGGGCTGTTGGTCACGAGAGGTGGTTGTTCCTCAGAACCTTGGATAACACATCGAGCATTACTTATTGCTGGAGCCTAGAGTAGACTTGTGGGCCTACGCTTTTGAGGCAGGAAACATTCCTTTGTTCTCCTTAGAAATGCAGCCCCTCTGGGTCTGAGTTAGAAAGCTGTGTTCACTGGGAAAGTGATGAATGATTTGGTGACTTTCTTGAAGTCACTCCTCCTGAAGGAAAAAGCTTTAGCTCTTTACTTTTTTGTCATCCCTTTGTTTTTCCCTCCCATCTTTCTTTGATTTTCTGAATTGCAAAAAGAGAAAGATGGACAAACACTAGGCTAAGAAAGGTGTTTGGGATCAGAGTGCCAAAAGTGAGCATTCAAGAGCAGAAAGAGTGGCTCCTCTTTTGGAAGCCGGGGCGATGGGGAACGGGCAGCACAGTGCCCAGCAGAGGGTGGTCTCCAGGCCCTGCGGGAGCCCTCCACACTCAGCAGCTTAGGATCATTTGTTCAAGAGGAGCCCTTCCAGCCCACAGACCTTCCCTCTGCATTTCCATGTTCTTGTTTTTGTTCAGGTTTGGCTCTGAGCCCTCCCCCAGATCCCATTCTTTTCAGCCTCCTTCCCCATCATTTATTCTGCCTCTTGCCAGCCAGCAGATGAAGTGGTCATTGGGCAGTGGTTTGGGTAGTGACTTTCCTGTCACCCATGGAAGGAGCTGGTGTGGACACATTCAGCCCACCTCACTCAAGGGTGACTCCTCTCAGCCCAGTTATGCCCTCCAGGCCCCTCCGAGTGGAGCCACGTGCCCATCGCCATTGCTGTGTTTTTGAAATAACTGTTGCGTGTTTTGTGTCTGTGGCGCTGGCCTGCAGCGTGCTCTGTACATATTGTAAAGAAACTGTTGTACTTTTTTGTCATTGGGAAGGCACGGCCCCGCGTTCCTGCCATTTCCACTTCATTCTGTAACAGAGAGGAGGAACTTCTGTACTTGCAGGACAGCCTTGAGTTCTGCAGAAGGGAATAGATGTTTCTTTTTCTTTTTCTTTTTCCTTTAAAAGACATTTGGCTCATTGATCTTTATACCCAACTCTCCCTCAAAGAGTAGGAACTGCCCAGAACAGGTAGCAACAATGGTAGAATGGCCCTGCCTTAGGCCCCTCTCCCCAGCCCCTCATCCCTCCCTGAAATGGTAATGAAGCAGCAGGAGCTGTGGAGATCCCCAACAAGTGCCGAGAAGTTTGCTGTCCGCCTCCAGCCTCTCACACAGGAGATACACAATTCCAGGGGTGTCCTGTGGCCCCCATAACCTAGACTAAGGGATCCCCACCATTCCACTTGTCAAGCAAAAGTTGGAAAAAGTTGCTGCTAAGGGCTTAAGGCGCCAAACCAAGTCTCTCCCTGAGCCATGGCCCGGGCCCTCACAGCAATTTCTGGGGCCCCCATGGGGGAGAAACTACAGGAAATGAGGACCTCTTCCGTAAAGAGCTACTCTTTAGGATTCGCCTCTGCTTCTTCCTCATGTTTGGCGTGCCGGCTCCCTTCATCCCTCCCCCCTGCCTTATCCACGTGCGCGCACATGTGTGAAGTCTCCTCTTTTCCCATATCCTCCACACATCTCAAGGTCAAAAGCATCAAGTGTGGAAGGGTAAAGAGGGCACCCTAGAAAAGGGAATGGATTTCTTGGATCTCCTCTCCAGCTAGGGGGTGGAAGGAGTTAGCTTAGAGACTGGGACTTAAGTATGCAGGACTAGAGAATTGTACACAGGCTTTAAGGCCCTCCTATGTCACTTACTACCCACATACCCTCTCACCATCCTAGTGTCTACTCTGATGCCCCCCATGATTCAACTGGGCAGCTAGCCGGCCCCATAATCTTGGGCCTTTGTCATTTATACCAGGGCATCCCAGGAAGCTTGCCAGTGATCCCCTGCCACGGGGCCCCCAGGCCCTGTCCCCAGCCCCTCCTGCCCCAGCCCACCCGCTTGCCTTGGTGCTCAGCCCTCCCACTGGGAGCAGGTTGGGGCAAGCTGGAGGCCCCGGCTGGAGGGGTCGTGTTGCTGTTCATAGCTTTTGTTCCATTGGCGTTGCTCTGTTGGATTTAATTTCAGTCTTCCTGATTCTTCCCTTCTGTAAAGTGTACATTACCAAGTTCCTTGTTTTTTTTTATATATATATATAAATATATATATAAATATATATACAAACTGTACTCTTTTTGCCTTTGTACACTCAGGCAAGAAGAGAAAATAAATCTTTTTAAGAGACAATCACAAATCTGTGAGGGCTGCTGGTTATTTCTACTGGAGTGTGCTGCTGAGCTGTCTCCTCCCCCCTCCCGACCTGTTCAACATCCCTCCCATTTCCCAGTCTTCCTGGTCCTGCTCCATATGCATCCTCGGCTTCACCTTTCTTGGCTAATAGCATAATGGTCGTGCCCAGACAACTGTCTTCTGGCTTGGCTTAGTCCAGAAGCTTCATCCTATGCCCTGGCCTCCCCTCTTTACCCTCAGATCCCATTCACCAGCCTGGCTTTGGAACCCTGGGTGCTCCTGGACCTGTCTCCCAAAAGCCCTGGTTGGGAACACCACCTGTGAAACTATGCAGCAGGCAGCGCCCGGGAGTTAGGGTGTGTTATTTAGAATTAAGCGGGGAAACTACCCCTCCCCCCAGACTCCAGATTCCCCACCACCTAGAGACCAGGGGCCACTCCTATCTGGGACCCCCATCCGAACAAGGGCTAAGGGTTTATGCATCAAGAGCCCAGCCAAACCACTGTCCCTCCTCTTTTCCTTCTCTACCTTCTTCCTCCTGTCTTTTCCTTCTTCTGTCTCTTTTTCTTAATCGGCTTTGGAATTGAAGTATATTTTTAAATTATTTGTTGTATTTATTAAATAAAGTTTTTAATGTCCCTGTTCTTAAATTTAGACTTAGTTTGCCTTTCACATATCTCCCCAATACCTACCACTCCTAGAAATATTTTTTAACTGAGGTGCAGCCCTTGGGTATTTTCTCTCCTCCCCTCCCCCCCCCCCCCAAAAAAAAAAAAGTCTTCAATCACCAGTTTTTTTGTGAAAGGAAAATCTTAGGTACCTGGGTTTTCTAGTTCAGCCCTTGTAACTCTGGCTGTGTTGAACAGGAGTCAGTCGCCAACAGATGGCAGCAGACTCTCCAGTCCAGTTTCCTGTCCGGTTTGCCAGCTTTGGAGGAAAGTAAAGGACTAAACTGACCTTTTTTTTTTTTTTTAAATTCCGGTATACTTGTAGATTCATTGGGTTTTACATCTTAATCCTGACCTACCACTCTTTGAGCTACCTCCAGATAAGCCATCCTGATTCAACTGAATGTCCAGCCCTAGACTTTCTCTCATACTTATGAAGGAGTAGGGGTGTTGAGCTACTTTGAGTGATTACCAGGTAGAGCCCAGGCTCCACGAAAACGGGCCACAGTCCTACAGAGAAACTGAGGAGTCAACAATTGTAAGTCTCTAGGAGGTAGAACATGCCTTCACTCCAGCAAAAGGCAAAAGCAAAGGGGAAATTATAAGAGAAAGAAAAAGAAAGGGATTCTGTCTCCCTACAGTGCCACTGAGATGATTTTTCAGGCCGGTGATAACAAGGGTCCAGAAGCTGAGCTGCAAAAGGAGGAAAGTAATATAGGAAAGGGGTGCACTACGCTTCAGAGGTCTCAGAAATCACATAGCAGGCTACCCCAAGCAAAAGCCACAACAGCCTTTTTAGAGGACGCTGGTGAATATGCGTCTGTTCCTTAGGGGGATCCCGTACTGTCCCAGACTCCCAGTAACCCACGCCTCATAATAGAACATGGCCCCAGAGACCCTGGCCAATTTCTCTGTCCTGTACAGGACAGCCTCTTCCTGATATACATGATCACAGCCATATTAAGTTAGGCTCTGATAGTGGTAGGAAGTTGGTCCTGGTACAAGAATAAAGAATAGACCAACCACAACTTTAAATCAGTTTATTGACACAATAACATAACACACTTGCCTGACACCCCGCTCCCTTCACCCAATCTCCATCTCTTCCCCTGTTCTTCTCCCCTTACAGCAGTTGTTCAGAGAAAACAGAAAAGGCAAGGCCACTTCCACCCCCAAAACCTACCTCTAAGGCCCTGCAAAGAGGGTCCCAGGCACTGCTCAGACCTGTCTGGGGAGGCAGTGAGCACTACGCTCGGTCAGCTAGAGGCATCTGGCCTCTAAGAATAGATTCCCTCGTGGTTTCTCCCTCCTTACTCTTGATAACTTTAGGAAAGAGCCCTCAGGGCCTGGGCCTCAGGAACAAGAACCCTTCGCGGTCATCTGAGAAGTGGAATTTGGCTTTCCGTAAGGCTCAGGCACCCCCCCCCCAAAAAAAAAAAAAAAAAAGCCCTGCTAGTGGGAGTGAACGTCAGTGCCCCATTTCAAATGCACTGGCAACATTAAACAGATTAAGCCAGCTTAACCAAATGCTAGAATAACACTAAGCTGTAAAGAAGGAAGGGGTCAGACCTGCATACGACAGGCCAGACACAAATGCACACAGAGAAGCCCAAGTAGAGTGTCAAAAAACTAACCCGAGGATACTGCCCAGGAGCCCCTGGGTAACAGGAAGCAAAGGAAGAAAATATGAAGTCTTAAAAATCCAAAATGAAAGTCCAACAACAGGGAAGCCTGGGCCTGCTGGAACTGCCCACCAGCCCTCCAGGCCTCGGCCCTGGACGCAGACGATCCCTCCCCCTCTCGGCAAAGTCCTCCCCTAGGCTAGATAGAGCACGTCACACAGCGCAATTTAAAAAGCTTCTAATGCCAGTTCATAAACATCTTCATTTACTATTGGTGATTACATGTGAATAATATGTTTATACTGTTCTTTATGGAAAACAATGTCAACGAGTCAACTCCAAGAACACAAGAGGCAACCCTCAGCCTGAGCCTTTCTGCGTCCTTGCCTAGACAGCGAGAACCCCTCTCCTCTGTCCCATGGCCGCCTAACTCCCCCTCGCCCCCCACTGTGGCTCTTGGGCAAAGCATCCTCTATGACCATCAGTCCTCATCGGACAAGTTCTGGTCCAGGGAGTAAACCATGAACATCACATCTGGCCGAGAGGGGACACAGGGATGGCCTGGACGCACAATCTCAAAGCCCAAGAAGCTGAAGGTCTTCAGGAGTGGAGCTGCAAAACAGAAGAGCACAGATAGAAGGACTCAGATGAGAAACACAAGGGTAGACTCAAAGTGAGGGGAAGAAATGAAATCAGCACTGAGGCCCTCAGGCGCATCCCCTCCACCAGGAGTTCCCAGGAGGCCAGGAGCCCCTCCCTCCCTGAGGGGCCCCATCTTCTTCCCCACGCCTTCACTCCTAACCTCTGTCTTCCCGGCCCTTCCTGAAGCAGATGAAGACGTAGTTCACTTTCATCTTCTCTTCAGCAAACTCTAGCAGTGCTAACAATCTGCAAAAAGCAAAGAAAGGGACTGTCACACACCACTACCCCCAAGACCTCCCTTCTCACCCTCTCTTCCCCCCCCAAAAAAAAGTATTTCTGAGCCAGTACAATTCACGATCTCCAGGAATAAGCAGCTCAGGACCCCAAAAGTCCTGAGGAGTTCGGAAAAAAAGTAGGCCACCGGCCCCAAGGAAAACGTTACTGAATTATCTCTCCCAACAACAGGAGTTCTTCCTCTGAAAGTAAAAGCACTTCCCAGGACAAGAATTTGGGATCTAGAATGAATCTTAAAGGGTTTTCTCAACAGGTTTTGCCACTCTGTCCTCAAGATTGAACTGAAGAACTCTTCCTTCAACTCTGTCCTCAAGATTGCTTAAATAACACAAGGGCTATCCAGAGCCCAATCCAGTGAAATCTTACTGTTGTGTGTGCTTTTGCTAACCGTTTGCAACGAATCACAGTGAAATGGCTGAGGGGACTGGATGCTGATTGGGAATCTTGAACCAAGGAACAATTAACTGGTAGATGGGGCTGGGAAGGTGGCTCAGTGGTAGAGCACTTGCCTTGCAAGCCTAAGGCCCCTGGGTTCGATTCCTCAGCACCACATAAGCAAAAAGAAAAAAACCAGAAGTGGCGCTGTGGCTCAAGTGGTAGAGCGCTAGCCTTGAGCTGAAGAGAGCTGAAGAGCTGAGGGACAGCGCCCAGGCCCAGAGTTCAGGCCCCACGACCGACCAAAAATAATAATAATAACTGGTAGGCACCTGGTTAACATAACTATCTGCTCTAATTATAAACTAGAGTTGGCCTGTTTAACTGGCTAGATAAAACCTGTTACAGAATGGTATCTGCTTAGCAAGTTTAGAGCTAGGTGAGAAGCTGCAAATTCTCCTGCAGTCTCTTCCCCTAATATAATAAGCCCTCCCGTGTATCCAGGAGGATACCTTCCTTACTCGCCCCTCTGTGTACTACAGCATTCAATCCTTACCCTTCTTTGCTCCCATCAGCTAATAATCCATCCGGGATTTCTACAAACAGGCTCTGGCTAGACAGGACTGCATCCCAGGAAGAGACCTTCACCTCAGTGACCTCATACTGGAAGTGGACGATGTGAGGTTTGCCATCGTTCACAGGGAGGTCCTGGGTCACAGTGAGCTTGTCGTCCTGGGGAGGAGAGCAGGACAGAGGACAGATCACTACTGTACATTCCACTCCCTAGCTCATGTGCATCCCTGGGCAAGCCAAGGCCTTTTCTTTTTTTGTTTTGTTTTTCTTGACAACATTGGAACATACACCCCAAGCCCCTTGAGCCATTCTCAGGGTAGCATGGATCAAGAGGCATGCTGGAGGACTGGGAATGTGGCTCAGTGGTAGAGTGCTTGCTTTGCATGCATGAAGCTCTGGGTTTGATTCCTCAGTACCACATAAATAGAAAAAGCCAGAAGTGGCATTGTGGCTCAAGTGGTAGAGTGCTAGCCTTGAGCAAAAGAAGCTCAAGCCCCAGGACTGGGGGAGAAAAAAAGGCATGCTAAAAATACAGATTTGTGTGCTGAAGCATTGCTTTTATTTTTTATATGGAAAAGTGATACTGCAGTTTGAACTCAGGGCCTCACACTTGCTAGGCTAGTGCTCTATCACTTGAGCCACATCTCTCGTCCTGCTTTTCTGGGTTATTTTTGAGGTAGGGTGTCACAGACTTTTCTTCCCAAGATGGCCTCAAACCTCAATCCTGCTCTCAGCCTCCCAAGTAGCTATGTTTACAGATGTGAACCACTGGTAACCACCAAACGAGCTATTCTTAAAAGCCACTAATGTTAGCAAAAGCCAGAATTATGGGAAGGAAAATATTTACAAAATATCCACTAGGTGCCAAGTATTTTCCAAGGTAGTATCCCAAGCATTATTGCATTTACTATGACAAGCACTTGAGATGGGCATTAGTATCTCCATCTTGAATTTGAAGCGACTGACCTAATGCTCCCAAAGGAATGAATAGCAGTGTTAAAATTCAAAACCCAGCCCCTTTACCCCCTCCGATTGAAAGCTAAAAGTTATTTCCAACACCATATTCTTTCCCTTCTACAAAGGAAACATGAAACATTAGGCAGTAGTGTTCTATGCACACTAACACTTGGGAGGCCAAGGCAGGAGGATCTTAGAGTTCAAGGCCAGCTGGGTCCTGTCTCAGGGGGAGAGGAAAAAAAAAAAAAGCCTATTTATGAGGGTTTGGCAAGTGCCCCAATCAACCACAGCCAACTTCCAGGTAGAATACTGGGTCCTTATTATCCATTATCCCCCCTGGGCCATTTCAAAAGACTAGGATTTGCTGCACTGCTATTCTATGCTGAGCCAGCAGATTAAAAGGGAGCAACTGGTGCTAAGAATCTGAAAAGGCTATGTTACATCTTCCCAGCACCCTACTCACCTAGCCTTTAAGATGAACAAAAGTCAGCCCGGCACACCAGTGGCGTACACCTGTAATCCTAGCTACTCAGGAGGCTGAGATCTGAGGACTAAGGTTCAAAGCCAGCCTGGGCAGGAAACTCCATAAGACTCTTATCTCCAATAAACCACTAGAAAAACGGAAGTGGTGCTGTGGCTCAAGCGGTAGAGCACTCGCCTTTAGCTGGAGAGCGTAGGGACAGCGCCCAGGCCCAGAGTTCAAGCCCCATGACGGACCAAAAAAAAAAAAAAAGCAACAAAAGTGCCTGGATCCGATAGTTTACACCTGTAATCCTGGCTTCTTGGGAGGCCCAGTGCAGAAGGACCAAGGTGCAAAAAAGTCTTGGAGATCCTATCAAAAATAACCAGCAAAATCAAGAGTCAGAGGTGTGGCTCAAGTGGTAGAGAACACCAGCCTAGCAAGTATGAGGTCTTAAAAAGTTATTGCTGCTGTTAACCAACCAACAGTTCAGCTGGTATGAGAGCAGGGCTGTCCACGCCTCCCCTCCCAGGGTCCTCCTTACCTTATATATTAGAGCTGAGAGAGAAGGATCCCTGCCGCCCCCTCGCCCACCGGGGATCTTCGACAGTGGGTGAGGGGCATCAGGAGCACCACAGAGGCCCCGGAACAATGTGCCTGCAGCACTGGAGCTGGGGACAGTTACTCAAAGGCAAAATACTACTGTGCAAGAGAGAGAGAAGAGAAAGCAGTGAACACCAAGACCCGAATCCTACCCTAACCCCGCCCCGCCTCAGCTTGCCCTCAGTCAGCTGAAAGGCCAGACCCCTTCCCCTCTCCTTGAGCTTCTGGGAAAGCTACCGCTCTCCCGAATGAGCCCATCATTCCAAAAAGGCTGCCTCCATCTGGCCAGAGATGTACTTTACAACCAAACACGTTGAGAACAGAAAGACTGAGGCTTAAGGCTAGCCTAGGCAGGAAAGTTTGCTGGACTCATCTCCAAATTAACCAAGCATAATGGACAAGGCATAGCTCGAGTGACAGAACGCTAACCTAACAAGTGTGAAGCCAAGTTCAAACCCCCAGTGCCAGAGCAGAGGTACACTATAGTTTGTACAATATCAGTTTTGTCTCTGGTCTGCCATCAAATGTTCTCCTGCCCTTCTTTGCTGATCCCCTTAGGAGCTGAGCTTGTGCACGGAGGTGATGGTGTGCGAGGTCACTCGGGTGGGGCGGGGAGAAGGCAGACTGGCTGTATGCTGATTAGGACACCAGGAACCTGCTGGATTATGCGAATGGAAGCACCTACTTGTTTCATGTCACCTTGCTGGCCACAGTATGACCTTCAGGCAGCCCCAAAAAGGTCTCTACATGGACTCCAAGCCTTCTTTGACTCTGATTTAGTAGCTGCCTAGGCTGACCCCAGAACAAGGACCAGCGAAGACGAAGGGAGAAATGTAAACCGTGTGTGCATCTACGCCCTGGCCCAGCACAGTACAACACAACAGCCTTGAGGTACCCGGAGTGACACATAGTAGTACCATGTCACCAGCTTGAACCAGTCAAGCAGGAAGTGTTTTTAGCACAGTAATCATCAAGTGCTGCACACAGAAGGTTTTTCACCCCTGAAATGGTGTGAGGGAACCCATCTTCACATTGTCTTTGGCTTGACCACGCATGCCATGCCAATCTTGGGCAACAAGAGCAACACAACCGAGCGCACACTTGCTGGCTGTGGAATGACACGCGGAGGTGGCCTTAGCCCCTCTCAGGCTTGTGTGCCCACATGGAGTCCACACCCACGGGAGCCCAGAGGTTCACACGAGGGATTCCAAAACCAGGAGCTGAAAGCGTCCTTGGCTATTTCTCGGGGGAAATGGAGCTCCTAGGAGACTCTGCAGGGGCTTGAAACCTCTGGAATCCCTGCACCCTCAGCTCCTCTCCTGGGCTGGCCAGCATTTTGGGGGTGTTACTTTTGGCTGAAGATAATGAGCTGTTATAATTTCCCCTTCCAAAGTATTAAGGGGAGGGCTGGGAAGGTGGCTCAGTGGTAGAG